TGCCCAGGTGGGTCTCGAACCCGCGGGCTCAAGCAATCCACTCACCTCAGCCTCCCAAGGCGCAGGATGACAGGCTGAGCCACCGAGCCTGGCTTGAGTCGACTTCTACAGAACAAGGAAGGCTTTGAGTTCTGCGAGGCCCCTGGCAGAACTTCCTGGTTTGGGTTCAGCCCCTCACACCCCTGAGGACATCAGGGATCACCACCCCGCCATGAGGGATCCATTTCCCTCCCGAATACGCCAAGAGAAACCTTATTTGGTATACTGTTGCAGAAATCACTCTTACTGGTGTGAGAATCAGTTCACTTTCGAGCGCCTTGTGAGACGTACGCTGAGCGCATCCCAGTCCCACCTGCTTCCCCATGCAGCGGGCACAATACATGCACGCTGTCCCAGGTCCCCCCTAAATCTCGACCCTGCTCCGTGCCTGTGATGGGAAGACGCCAGCCAGAAACGCCTGGCCAGGCCAGGCTCCATCTGCTGGGGCGGGGAGGCCCAGGCCGGAGCCTCCCGCTGCTGTCGTTTGGTTGTCTGTTGCGAGGCCCTGACTTGGTGTGGGCAAAAGGGCAGAGGCAAAGACCAGCTGGAAAGGCGAGCCGACGCCCAGCTGTGAGGGGTGCTGCAGGACCCAGGAGGCTGAACCCCGGGTCAGGAGAAGGCGGAGCAGGCGGGGCCATGGAGGCCCGGTGGGTCTGCTGACCGCAACCCGGCCCAGGTAGATTTCTGGACGAGAACTCAGGCCTAGGCCTTCGCACCCATGGAAGTAGGCGGGCAGCCAGCAAGGACAGCCCCTGTGTGGCTAGCAGGTGCCTGTATGGCCGGCAGGCACATGTGGGGTCAGTAGGTGCTTGTATGGCTGGCAGGTAGATGTGTGGCCGCTAGGTGGATGTGTAGCCGGCAGGCACCTGTGTGGTCAGTAGGTGGCTCTGTGGCTGGCAGGCAGCTGGCAGCTCCTCTGATCTCTCTGCCCAGGGCAAAGTGGGGTTGGAGAGCAGCACTTGCCAAAGCCTCGCCCCAGGGCCAGCTCCACACCCATGTCTTTCCACGGACTAAAGCATTTGAAACCTGGTGTCCAGACTCCTTCCAGCTGGAACATGCTCTGATCTGGGCACTGACCCTGTTAGCCTCCGCCGTGGGACCCTGTCCCAGGCAGACGCCCTGTGCTGACGCCCTTAGATCAGTCCCAGGCTCCTGCCGTACCTACAACCAGCCCTGGTCCTGCCGCCCTCCCTAACCACGCAGTTCCCGCCCATTTCTGCTTCCCTGTGCCCCAGGGACTGAGGATCCCAGCTCCGAGGCCTGTGGGCTCACACCTGGGGACAGTTGCGGTGACAAAGAACGTGACTCTCACTGAGCCCTGATGCTTCTGCCAGCGCGTCCAGAGCTTAGGGCTGGATAGTGCAGGGCCATGAGCTCTCGGGGTGGGAGGCTGTGCCCTGTGCCAGGGCATCCTTGTGGACATCGCCAGGGAGGTCTCCTCTAGCCGAGGGACGTGGGGTGGTCGGGGTGTCTTGCACGCAGGTGCGGGGGCTGCAGAGTGCCCACAGCAGCCTTGCCCCCGTGCAGCCACTGTGGCAGCTCATGCCCCCATGGGCACCATCGCACACCCGTGAATACACGTTGCTTCTCATAACTTTCCTAAATGCTCCAGAAAAGGTCCTGGAGAGCTCCGTGCCTCTGGGGTGTGGCCAGCCTTGACCTGATGGGTTGGCAAGTGCACAAGGGGCTGATAGGCTGATCCACATGGGAGATGTTTCCGTCAGCGAGCCTGGGGCAGACCACAGGGCCTCACAGACTTGGTCAGGAAACAGCAGGTGGCAGGGAGCCTGGCTGGCGAGGAGGCTGCATCTCTAAGCGCCGGCCCAGCAGGCTTCCTGGCTTGCCATTTTAACGGGCTGGCCTTCAAGGTGCTGTTGGCTGTGCAGAGGCCAGGCAGCTGCACTGCTGGTGAAGGGCCTCTCCTATCTCTCGTGTGGTTTTATCTTGAGGCCTCCCCATCCCCTGCACTCCCTCGTGTCCCTGAACACGCCATCCTTCCCCAAACTCCCCAGAGTTCCCTCCTGGTTTCCCAATGCCCAGTCAGCCGAGGACACACCCAGTAGAACTGTAGCACTTAGGTTACAGGGAAGGGGCAGTGGCCAGCATCCAGCCCACTTGGGCAGGCCCTCCCCAGCAGGGCTCCATGCTGTCCCGCACGGATGGCCATGGCAGCAAGAGGAAGTGTTAACATCTCTCACCGAAAGTTCAGCTCAGGACAGGACGCTTGCCCCTGAGCCCGGTGAGACAGGCCCCCAGGAAAGCCCTGTCCCCGTGGCAGGTCCTCCCCCTTCTTCAAGGCCCGCTCACTGCACTGCTCTAGGCCTCCTTTCCCCATAAAATGGGGCTGGGCATAACCAAACCCCAGAGCGGCTGAGACAACAGGACAGGGGGATGTTTACAGAGAACGCCTAGGGCTGGTGGCTGAGGTTCAGGCTGAGTCACCAGCTGTTCTGCACCTCAGCTGGCTGGTCACGTGCCTCCCCTGGATGGAGTACTGGTCCTGTGGGGGCGGTGTGTGTGAGAGAGAGACAGAGAGAGATAGGGAGAGAACAAGAGAGATAGAAACAGAGAGAGACAAGGAGAGAACAAGAGAGACAGAGAGACAGAGAGACACAAACAGATAACAGGAGAGACAGAGAGATAGAGACAGAGGGAGACAGAAAGACACAAACAGAAAAAGGGAGAGACAGAAACGTAGAGACACAGAGATAAGAGAGATAGAGACAGAGAAAGGCAGAGAGATACAGACATGAGAAATAGACAAAGACAGAATAACAGAGACAGAGACAGAAAGGAGAGCCAGGATGTAAGAGACAGGGTGATAAAGAGACAGAGACAGAGCCCAAGGGAGGGAGAGGCAGGCTAGAAGGTGAGAACATGGGCTGTGCCTTGAGGATGGTGGTCTGGAGACCCACAGGGAGAAGCAGACTCGTGTCTGGTGGTGCCACATCATTCCCCAAGCCCGGACAACCACAGGACGGGGCCAGGCACCCAGAGAATCCCGCTCCAGCATACAGGCAAGCAGCTGCCCAGGGCACATCAGTGCCAGTGAGCGTCGGCCGAGTGCGCAGACACGGACACGGTTTCAGGCACAGGCTCAGGGTACGAAAGGCACAGACGCACTCACCCTGTTCAACCTCCCAGACTAAACGGGGGAGCAGGCCCTCGCAAGTCCCCGCTGCGTTCACACAGCCTGCCCGGCCCTGGGCCGCACCCTCGCGGCCTCCACTGCCCGCAGGCAGGCCAGCACCCAGACACAAGAGGCGAGGGGATCCGCCTCCCTGAGCAGCCCGAGTGGGCGGCCATTCTGTCTCCTGCAGTGCTGAGCCTCCTGGGCGGGATGCACGCCACCATGGCACAAGCACACACAGAGAGCACGTGTGCTCGCGTGGAGCTCGGAGGAGCCTCACACGTGTGCACAGCTGGGTGGCCAAGCCTCCAGGAGGGAGCACCCCACACCCACGGGCTCCCGCATGCCCGCCTCACAGAGTGCCCTCGGGGACCACAGCTAGGACTCGTCACTGGAGCCTGGCCTCACATACAGACGCACACTTGCACACCTGGTCCAATCACATGGCGGGAAGGGCAGGCCGGCCCCCGAGCCCTGCCCTCCCAGGGGCCCTGGTCCAACACCCCCCACCCCAGGTCACCTATGCCTAACCCTCCCCTCCTGGTCACCTTGGTCTGATCCTCCCCTCCAGACCACCCTGGTCTACACCCCTTCCCCCTTCCCCCTGCTAGCCATAGGCGTGGGTCACTCACCCCTGTCGCACCCGCACCACCTTCAGCCGTCCCTGTGGGCTCCACAGAGCTGGTGCTTGCCATCTGGAGAGAATGCAGAGGCCGAGTGAGGGGCGTCCCAGGGCCGCACGGCCTGAGGGCCGCAGGGCCTGAGGGCCGCAGGAGGACATTTTCTGAAACCCCGGCCCCACTGTGCGCTGAGGGCAGGTACGGGAGAAGGACGTTCTGGGTCTGGTGTTTGCTGTGACTCTGGGAAGCTGCTCCCTTCCTGGGCTTGTCATGGAGTGAGCACTGCCTAGCATGGGGGGTGGTGCCCCCCCAGCCCACCCCGGTCACACCAGTGGTCCAGTGAGGAGAGTCCCTTTGGAGTTCCCCCTCGTCCTTCAGAGGTCTCTGCAGCCCCGACTTCTTGAGCAGAGTGAGGTGCTGGCTCAGCCCCTGCGCAGAAAGGGCCGGGCCGACTTTAAGGACAGCGTGCTGTGTCTCTTGTTCCGGGTCACCTCCATGCAGGGCCAGTCACAGGCCTCTTCCTTCCGGAACTGGGCAGAATTTTCTTACACAATAAGCCCAGGACACAGAAGAAAGTGAGCAGACCTGAGGCCGACGTGAGGGGCTGACGGGGAGGTGGCAGATCCCATGCTGAGGTGGGGAGCGGGGAGCCAGTCTGGGGTGGGCGGGGCCTGTAGGGGCTGCTGGGCCTGGGGGCTGC